GCGGGCTTTTTTCTGCAAGCCTCCAGCTTACCCAAGCTTCTGAAACTTGCCGTCGTCGTTATCGTAGATCGCCATGCTCGTCACCTTGTTGTGGGCGCTGTCCGCGGGGTCCTTGTACCGGCAAACCCTCAGTAGCGATGTGCTAGGCAGCGAGAGATCCGAGTTGAAGTAGTAATGCTTGAACCTCACTTCCCACATACACAGGAAAGTAGCTCCCAATTATCGGAGACAGGAACCCTGTCAACATCCAAAGTGCTCAAAAAGAGAAGTAAGGAGCCCAAAGATGGACTTAACGCGGAGGATCTTGATCGAGTTCAAGACAACGCTACACATGGGGCACTTGACGCCCGCGTCAGTCACGAGGAAGTCATTCGCGAGCCACGTTAAGGTCGTCCAGGGTGTTGAGCTGTCCTGGTACTGCCGCTGCCATCCGGAAAGATCTTCACTTTTTCGATGGCATTGTGGAAGTTGCTGTTCATGGGACGCCTTGCCTGCACGCCACTGCTGTGTTAGCGGCAGCGGCGCACAGTGAGGGGCAGGCTGGCGCCCCCCTGGAAGTCCAGCTCCGCTCGCGTCAAAGGTCGGCGGGTTCTCGCTATGTTTGCAAACCCCCCTCAGCCCAAGTTGAAACATCAAACCCCAAATGCCTTCCCAGTATCGTACATCCGTTAAGGCCATGTAACCTCTCCTGGAACTGAAGGAAGTATGGAGCGTTGTCCGTGCTGGACTTGGCGGTGGGCGACATTCTACTCCTGGACTCCGAGGTGCGGCTGCCAAAGGTCGCATGAGGCTTCACATAGTGGGGCTAATATATGTGAGGGCCCCTAGTAATCCTTATAGGGCCCCTACTATGGAACCTACAAACGGAGCCAGATTTTATGTGGAGCCCCGTGTTTGGTTTGTGTCTGGAGGCTTTTACAGGGGTCCACCATGGGGCCGAGATAATGAGTACGGGTCTCGTGCAGCGCTTTGTTTTGGCTGGGAGTGAGGATTGACTCATGTAAAGATTGGCTTACACCCGAAACCTAATTACCAACCCCTAAACCCTCGAAGGTCAAGTGCCCCGCACGAGGGCCAGCTGAGCTGGGACGCGGACTGCCCGTTCTAAGACGAGATCGACGCTCACTTAAGAGTTCCAAGAGGTCTTAATGAAGACCCTGAGGGCCTTTCAGAGAGAGCCCTTTAGTTCTGAAGACCCTGAGGGCCTTTCACAAAGAGCCCTTTAGTTCGTCATATCGCGCCGCTGCGTGGCGCGTGTTTTCGTTTGATGGTTGATGTGCGTTCCTTCTTCGCTCCCTGGTTTTCAAACACCCCTTGGCTCAAGGCGTGGGGGGTCTTTCACAGGGCACCAGGCTGTAGCAGCCTGCTTGCACAGCGAGAGGACAGTGCGAAAGATAGGAGATGTAAAGACCATGCGGTGCTCTTTTTTGATTGGGGATCTTGCAGGAGAGGCTTGCATGCCCGGCCTAAGTTCTAAGGTCCTGATTCAGGCCGAGCCCCCTCCAAGACAGTATGCACCCCTGAGCATTGTACAGGCAACTTGCACTCTTGCAACAGTCGTTGGCTTGGGGTCCCGACTCTGGCTGAGGCTGGAAACTTGGCTGCTGGGTCAGATGGCGCCGGAATCTGTGTGATAGAAGCAATGTAACTGCTGAGCATGGAGCTGTAAACTGTATTTGGTGTTGCTTGCCGATTGTGACCCCGTGTACCGGATGCACAAATTGCCCCCTGATTGGCAACACAACGTGATTTTGCAATTTTTCTTCTCGGTGCATGACGTGGTTTCGGTGTGACGTGGGCGTGTTTTGTCAAGCCGCGTGCGACGCTTTTAAGGTGCAACAACCTATCCATTGTGCGTTGTTCGTTGCAAAACAAAGATGCCCCGCCCGCATGCAGATTGTGTGTTTGTGCTCGAGATAGCAGAAGCAAGAATTCGGTTCTGACGCATACCTGCACGACTATCCAAATACTACTGAGAAGTTACAAAACAATATCCTAGTCGCGCACGGCAGATAGTTTGAGGCGTTGTTGTCTTGATGGCCGGTCTGTGGCATGGTCCCGACCTGCACAGCTTCCCGGACACGCGATGCAGGACTGAGCAGCACAGTAAAGCATTGAGCGGCACCTAAGCGTGGACATGGTGCAGCCTGTTGTCCATGTGTGTTCTTGCTTCCTTTTGTTCTGTTGGTCGGAGATGCGGCGAAGTGAACGACAAAATATTTGGTAGTGTGACGTGGTGCACGTCGTAGAGCTGATCGCTATTTAAGGTTGCATGCCAGCACTGCCCACCCACCTGTAACGTCTTTAACAAACATGAAGCGACATGCATTGCCGTTTGCATGGGTTCATCAGGTGAACCGTTGCTCATGCAAGCTACTGCTTCAGGCACATGAAGAGGGCAGGCGGACCTTGCGTTGAGGCGTCCCCCAACAAGCGTCAGCGATATGGCGGCTGTGGTGGCAGTGGTTGGCGGGATCTGTGCTTCGCAGCAATCCTCCAGGCCTCGAACATGCAACGAAGCGCCAGACGTGGGCTGGCATATGTTTGGTTGCATTTTGTATATGAGCCTCTCATCTACCGACGGCGAGTCCAAGCCGCACACGAGTTCTTGGCCGGTCGCAGCCGCAGCCAGTTAATCAGTGATGTTGAAGATGCCGTTAACTCGGCTGAAGCGAAGCCATTCCGTGCCGTGTTGCGGGATGATTTCTGGCATCAGCAAGATTCACCAGTCGAGACCCGTGACACGCTCATGCAAAGGCGCCTGTTGCTCCGAGCCGAGTTGGAACTACAGCTCCAAAGACAGCAGTGGAAAGAAAGTGCCAGTGGGAGAGGTTTTGTGGCAATTTCTTGTAACTTTCGGCTGCGAGTTGATCCCAAACAGCGTCACTATTTCGGCAAAGTTCCTCTAGAGGTAAAGCGTGGCTCGGCATTTGACTCTACTGTGGAGGCAATTCTGGCTGCCAAACCATCGCACCTGCTTTCGGGTGTCCATGTAAGGTTCCACGAGAGCGGTGGCTTCGCAGAAGCAGGTGTGGACAGTGGTGGCTTGACCCGGGAGTTTTTTGAGCTGGCGATCAAGGAACTTTCAGCAGATGTGTCCCCGCCTTCTAGGCCGACCCGGCAACAACGGCAACAACCAAAGTTTCGCCGAAGTGTTTCGGTGGAAGGCATTGGTCAGCCCATGTTCTGTCCGCAAGCCGACGGCTCCTTGATGTTAGTCCCCTCTTCCCGGCCACCGGCCGTCTACTTTGCCCTTGGCCGACTTGTGGGAGTTGCCCTGGTGCATGCGAGCTATGGTGACTCAGCCCTGCCTCTTCCTCTGTCGGACTGCTTGCTCAAGTGCATGGTCGGCGCCCCCATAACATCGGCTGATGTTCGAAAGCGGGATCCTGTTTACTACAAGAACCGTATCGAAGCAGTCCTCTCGGTGCAGGGACGCCACATGGTCACCGCAGCATTGATGGAGGAGAAGCTTCTTTTTGTGGAGGGTGGCAGAGAGTTGAAGCCAGGAGGTGCTGCTGAGGAGGTTACCGATGCGAACGTGATGGAATATGTGGCATTACTCAGTGAAGATTACATTTGTGGTGATGTGAGAACAGAAATTTCCGAGTTCCTTGCAGGTTTTCACGATATTGTGCCCCGTAAGCTGCTACAGCAGGCGGTCAGGGGAATGGGGTTAGGGCGACATTCGTAAAACGACATGTAGAACTCACGATGACAACTTAATCGTGGGTTCTCTAGATTCGGTTTATGCCGCGACCCTTCATCCGGTGTCAGGTGGGCTTGTCCTGGGTTCAGCTGGGCAACTTGCTTTCGGGAGTCGACCACATCGACATCGAAGCTTGGCGGCGGTATTCGCAGGTGCGTGCTGCTGGCGTCGCTGAAGAGGAAGCATATTCAGTTGCGAACATCTTCTGGGACACGTTGGAGCATTGGCCTGCAGTTGAGCGTAGTGCCGTGCTGGCCTTTGCAAGTGGCTGTTCACGCCTGCCGGCCTGCGGCTTCGCACTTCTCGATCCACCGTTTACTGTGGAAGTGACGCCTTGCTCGGGCAAGCTGCCAACTTCACACACTTGTTTCAACACGATCACTCTGCCTGCTTATGCCCAGGAAATGCTCTAGAAGAAGCTAGCTTTCGCGATCCATGAGTGTGCCACAGGGTTTGCCTTGATCTGACTCTTGAGTCCCGGTGGGTATTTTCTTTTTTGGCAGAAGTTCCTTGCCTGAAACAGCAAATCTGCAGAGGCCAAACTTCATATCATTCATATCTGTAGAGCTAGTTCCCACTTTGCAAGCATATGGAGGCTGAAAATGTTGAAAAAAACATCGCAAACTGCTGGTTCAAGAAGGGTTATTTCAAGTCTCTCTTCCTTCAGCAGCAGATTCAAAAGAATCGTATGTGGCGCCTTTCCATGGAACATGAAGGCTTCGCATGTTGGCTGCATTTTTGACTGAGTAGTCAGAGTCAGCAAGAACTTCGCTTGACGTACACGGCGCAATCTGCCCTGAAAGGGTTTAGGGTTGTCCGGAAAGCGCCGGGTGACACAGAACCGCGGAGCTTGGCAGAAGCCCTGGGCCAGCTTGCGTGTGTCCTGTTTTTGCTAGTTCTGAGCCTGTTGACTGCAACACCGGCTTGACGTCGGCCCTTTCGGGAGGTGCTGCAAAAGAGCTCTAGGCTGTGGCATTGGGATTGAAGTGCTGATTGATTTCCAGCGACACCTCCGGAAATGGGAGCTGCTAAACAGCATCCTCGAGACATACCTCAGTACCAGACTGCGGCATCCGTGTGCCTGGGTCTCGGCGAGTTTTGGCCAAACAACGCAATTGCCATGATTCGGGCAATCAGCTACACGCCCTTGGTGTTGATGGTCTGCTTGCAAGCAACAGTTGCATCAAGTTGCATCAAGTTGCATCTGCATGGTGCTTTGTTCGCAGGATCCAGTCCAAGGGCCTGCGAGAAGCACCGTTGGGGGGCTTACTGGAGAGAAGCTCCAGGCCGGGCTTGAACCCTCGCGGTTCGCGGTGTGTGGTATTTTGAGAGCCGGCGGAGTTCGTGACAGGCCTTCAGGCAGTGGACCTGCTGCTTTTGTGTCTGCATTTTCGACCTGGAGCAAGGAGCTTTGTGAGCTGATCTAAGTCTCCGCGAAAAATGCTGACGAACTTCGTTGGGCGCATGTCAGGACAGCGGCTCGAACTGGTCCTCTGCTCAGACGCAGCTGCATAAGAAAGTAGAAAGCGGAGCTAATGAGTTTCGCGTTGACAAGCAGATGAGCCGGCGTTCACTGAGGAAACTCCCGGCGATAGCCCCCTCTCTGAAGAGGATCGTCAACTCTTACGGTGGGCTGCTCATAGCAGTGCAGCACATGTCCAAAGCCGAGATCCTTGCCTTCCTACAGCGCTCCAAGTTGAATCAGGTATCTTGCATTTCCGGATTCCGGGCCCAGCCGCCTGACGTCTGCAGGGACTCCAGCCGATCGCAGCACGGGATTAATCGAATCAGCTCTTGGATGAAGCGATCATGCCTGCTGGTTGCATCTGGTTGCTGAGGTAGAGACAGCAGTCTTTCCATTTCGTTTTCGGCGAGGAAGTGGTGCTGGGCTCTTAAGGTTTCGGCGCAGGCTTGCTAGCAGACTCAAAGGAGCTTGTGCTAAGTCGCCCAGGCATCTCGGGGTCGTCGAAGCGCAAGCAGGCGAGGCACCAGGTCGACTCGTATCCAATCCACTACGTATAGTCGCGAGGCTTTTGGCACAAGGTGTGGTGGTACGTCCGCCCAGAGAGCCCGCCCCACCTGAGGGCCCGTCACCTTAGAGTGTCAGTTGTGCCAGCTCTTCACAGTTTGCAGTACTTAGTTCCCAGCTTGCGCAGTCTTTCACAGTGACTTTTTCGGAATTTTCAGAAATTTTCGTGCTGCAGAGCCATGTCGGAAGCCATGGCCCCCCATGAGGCGAAGCAAGAACCCTCTGCTCCCTCGACCGGCCCACCAGTGAAACAAGAGTCGCAGCCGGATGCTGAGCAGTTTGCAGAGTTCCTCAAATGGAAGGAACTACAGGAGAAAGCCAAGAAGGAAGACTCCGGGGACAAGAACCCCGGCAGCCCGAAGAAGGCCAAGATGGATGATTCTGAACTAGAGCTCTTCAAACTCCAACTAGCTGAGTTGTATCTTCAATGGGATGAGATGGAACCAGAGCTGCGGGACAAGCTGCGGCTAAGCGAGCAAGCTCGGGCGGATTTTCTGGCCGTGCACAGGCGCACAGATCTTACAGCCTATGATCCGAAGCGCGGCGGCTTCACAGAGGAAGCAGCTGCAGAGAGAAGACACGACTTCGAGGCGACCTCCACAGACACAGTAATGGAGGGACTGGACCCTCAACTCCAGGAGACTATGTTGAGATACCACGCCAATAACGTGCTCCCCAACCTCACGAAGCTCTTTGAACAATGTGGAGTTTTCTATGGTCAGGTTATGCAAGAAACCTCCATGCAGCAGATGACCAATGAGAGGATTGCAGCCCAGGTGCAGAGCCTGGAGCGCTC